GAAACCACAGAATCTTTACCAGATGATACAGAATTGACTTCATTATTTATTTAGTTATAAGACATAGTCAAGGACAGGAATCATCCATAGCACAATCCCATCCCATACAGGTCTCCAAGGTCCTCTAGCACAAAGCAGTAATGAAATTGATAAACTATTGCTAGAAAGTATGCTAGAGGCCTCAGACTTTCATAAAAACACCATGTCAATAGCAAAGGTTTGACAAAAGACTTTGCCATCACTTGGCAACAAGCCAAGGAAATGGAAATATCCTACTTGCTCTTTATACAACCAAACTTCACTACCTGCAGGAAATAACTCAATGGGTACTCAAACGGAATGAAATCTGGTTATTTGGGTTACAGATCCTGGTTTCTAGAATGGCTAAGCTGCTCTTCAACTTTAACTAGGTTTTCATTCAGTATTGCTCTGGGAAGAGGCATACAAGACTTAAGTATGAGAGGCTAGGTGTAAAAGTGGCTTTTTGTTCTTTAAATTATAGGTTTCTTCCGGCTGTTAGGCAGTTTGTTACTATCTCAGTGTTACTGTGTCAGAGATAACATAGTGGTAACTCCCTCCCTGTGCCTTTCAGCACTTCACAGGGACTTCTGCCCTTGCAGTTAGTGAGTGCTTTGTGTGTCTAAGCCAGCACTCTGGCCATGTAGGAGATGTATCTCAGTTTTTACAATTGTCATACTGTGACTAACTGTAATCAATACAGGGGCTCTTTGTCTGTGGTGATGTGTCTGCTAAACTAACACACTTTGCAGAAGTCACACCCCAGACATGACATCTGCTTGTACAGGGCCTCAGCCTTTTATTCTCTCAAATGCAGTTTTTTTTTTTTTTTTTTTTTTTTTTTTTTTTTTTTAGGATTAAAGACATGTGCTGTCCCCACCCAGATCAATACTGAGAGTTCTTATTAATGAAATTCATGAAGCCTAGACATTGTCTGTATTTAACAAACATGCTTGGCTGTATGACCTCATAGAAAGGTCATTGGATTTAACAATAAGCTCTCTGAAGTGGCCTCTCCTGATTTAAATTCCTTCAGAATGCTACTTTTTATATTATATACAATAGCAAGTTAGTAGCTGTTTTGTATTATGTATTGAGAGCTTTCTAAGAACCCTGCATTACACTGGGTAGCAAGAAATAAATGCAAGATGTAGTACTTGGTTTTTAACTGAAATGGGGAAAACTAACATTTTGATATTCAGACCTCTATGTTACAATGTTAAGATCCATGAAATTTTTTTTTAAGGTTTACTTTCTACCCACTGGAAGATAAACGCCTTATTAAGATCTCAGTTTAAAGTTTCCTGCTTTGCTGAGGAGTCTGCGAGACACACTATGGCCTACAGGCTGAAGATGGAACATTACAGAAGAACTTCGGGTGACTGACCAGGAAAGATGTCTCTGTCATTTCTAGAGTTTATATAATACCCTTCTGTGGTCTTTGATGGAGTTGAAGGCAGATAGTCATGGTTATAGTTTTCCTTAGTTAGGATTAAAGATAAGTTACATATAAGACTTTAGACTCACAAAGATAGGATAGATGATAGAATATTTTCTTTAATATCTTACTAAATGTTAATGGATAATGGATAAATATTGACAAAAAAGATCTTAAATCTTTCAGTCTCCTGTTCACTAATTCTGATTAGCACTATGATGTTATAAAGTGTGAATCTTTAAATGTTAAGGTGTTAAAAGTAAACAAATAAATTCAACCTATACCATGAGTACCACAATATATCATTGGACCAAAACTAAGGGTCTGAGGTGAAGTTCTTTTGAGATGACTACCTATACAAAAGTCAACCCTGTATAGAGAACAGCATGCCATGCTTACATCTCTATCAACTATCAACACTTCATTAAGTGGCCAGGAGAGGGAGCCAAAATAAGCTCAGAGATTGGTCAGGCTTCCTATTCGGTTATTCTCTGTACTTAAAACAATATGAAGCCTGTTACAAATAATGTAGTGATAAATATAGTTGAATAGTTGTCCTTGTGGTATGAGTGTGCATCCTTGGGGTCTATTCATAAGACTGGAATTGCTGGATCTTGACATAGACTAATTCACATTTTTCTGAGAAATCCCCATACTAATTTTCAAAGTAGCTGTACAAATTTGAATTCCCAGAAGCAATAGAGAAGGGCTCTCCTTTCTCCACATCCTCTCCAGAATAAACTGTCATTGGTGATTTTTATTTTAGCCATTCTGACAGGAGTAATGTGGTGTCTCAGAGTTGTTTTGATTTGTATTTCCCTGGTGATGGCTATGGATGCTGAGCAGTTTCTTAAGTGCCTTCTGGCCATTTGAGATTCGTCTGCTGAGAATTCTCTATTTAGATCTGTATGCATTTTTTAAATGAAAATCTGTTCAACTATGCTACCATCAACATTATTTGTTATAGCCAGAACCTGGAAGTAACCTAAATACCCCTTAACCTGGTCCTATGGAAATAACCAGGGACTCACAAGGATGACCCCAACTAAGAATCTAATCAATAATGGAGAAGCTACCGTAAATGCCCTTCCCTTTATGAGATTGATGACTACCTTAAATGCCACCATAGAGCCGTCATCCAGTAGCTGACAGAAGCAGAAGCAGACACCCACAGCTAAACACTGAGCAGAACTCCTTGAATCCAGTTGTAAAGAGGGAGGAGTGATGAGCAAAGGGGTCAAGACTATACTGGGGAAACCCAGCGAAACAGCTGACCTGAGCAAGTGGGAGCTGACAGACCCCAGTCTGACCGCTGGGGAGCCAGCACAGGACTGAAGCTGGCCCCCTGAACGTGTGTGCCAGCTGTGGGTACTTGGAAGTCTATGGGGCCTCTGGCAGTGGGACCAGTGTTTATCCCTAGTGCATGAATGGGCTTTGGGAGCCCACTCCCTTTGGAGAGATACTTTCTTAGTCTAGATACATGGGGTAGGGGGAGGGCCTAGGTCCTTCCCCAAATGGTGTGACACACACTCCCTAAGGAGTGTATGGAGGGTAGGATGTGGGAATGGTCGGGGGGGAGTGAGGGGATGGGAGGAAGAGGGAACTAGGATTGGTATATAAAATAAAATTCTTTTTAATTTAAATAAAAATTTATTAAAACAATATAAAGTTAGCATCATTTACACAGATGTTTTTTCATCTTGTGTCCTTGCATCCTGGGATATTTTATAAATGTCCCTCTCTGCGTTGTGGTATGATCAGCTTACATAAAGAGAAAAAAAAAAGGAAGACACTGCCCCATGGGATTCTTGTCATTAGATTTCAGGTGACATTATTGGATGAAGCAAAAAAAAAAAAAGCAGAGGATGGCTTATAAATGCCCAGTTTTCATTCTATATCTGGGAATTCTGAGTCACAAGAATTTTTATTGTTGTTGTTTAGAACTGAAATTTAAAATGTACATATTGTTCCCCCTTGTCTACAAATCTTTGCTCTTGTCTATTCCTCTCTTGACTCAATCTTCCTAGTCCCCCATGTTCTCTTCTCCTTCTCTTCTCTTTTTTTTTTGGGGGGGGTCAGTGAGCAGAGATGGAGTTAAGCTCTCTCACACATATAAACACTGAGACTTCTTTCCAAGTCTCTCTTGCTATCTCTGTCTCTCTCTGTATCTCCTCTCTCACACACAAATCATCATCATCAGTAGCAGCAGCACAACAACAACAACAACAGCAACAAAATATCAGCACTCAATAAACACTGCTCATTGACATATCTCAACAGCAATTGCATCACTTCCTCCAGTAAAAAACACACAGACTAAAAGCTTGGATTAAAAAAGGATCAACTGTTCTGATGCATTCAAGAAACATCTTAATATCAATGATAGATAATAAATCAGGGTAAAAGGATGGAAAAAGTTGTTCCAAGCCAATGGACCTAAGAAGCAATCTGGTATAACCATTTCAATATATGGAAAAATACACTGGAATCTAAAACTGATCAGTAGAGACAGGGATTGATAGTACAAACTCATAAAGAGGACATTGCAATTTTTAATACCTAGTCACCAAACACAAAGGTATCTAGGTTCATTAAATAAACAGGAATGCAGTTTAAATCCAATATTGGTTCTCACATACTGACAGTGAGAGACATCAATATCTGATCCTCACCAATAGATCATTTGAAAAAAAGCAAGATAGAAATGTTGAAGTTAACAGATGTAATAAACCAAATGATAATAATGGATATTTATAGACCATTTAACCCAGACACAAAAGCCAAAGGAATAGGCCTATTTTCAAAGGGATCTGATGAATTTTTCTCTCCTGATTTAAACTTTATCAGAATTGTCATCTTTTCTCTAGCATGAAAAATCATGTACTCAGTAAGAAATTTCAATTCTCCAAAAATGCTTTCCTAGTCCTCTGCATCACTCTTGGAGGTAAGGTATGCAAGATGCAATATTTGGCTTTTAACTGGGAAGTGCTATGTGAATACCTTGGTATCTTGACAGCTGAAATTCTACTCTACTGTGATGGACTACAGATTTTTATGTAGCTTCCATTCTCCTTACTGGAGAAATATGTCTTCCTGAGACATCCAGACTTTCTAACTTCTAGACCAATATATCTAATTACCATGATAACACTCCAATATTATATGTTGTGATACTTTGTAGAATGTTTAGACAAATACAAATGCTTCACCCCATTTTGTAAGAAACATCAGGAAAGCAGAATAACCCTGGATCATGACAATGGATTTGAGATGCTCTACTGTTGAAACTACTATTCCAGAGACTTCCTTAGACTGTGCTAACTTTGTACCCATATATGTGAGATACATGCATATGTCTCTTTCAAATCTCAACATCTTATCAGGTAACCACAGGGGGAGACATATGCCAAGAAGACACAAGAACTTGCTCTCTTGAGGATCTCTATGACAGGCAATATGAAGTCAGCATTATTTGCATAAATACTCTATTTCTCTAATGTTACTGCTTCTTAGAATGTCATAAAAGGTCCTTTTGTTCACATTGTTCACATAGACTCAGGGAAAGAAGGAAGATGATGTCCACATGTCAGCTCCTTGGGCTTCTGTTCTTCTGGGTATCAGGTATGACTGGTCATTGCAAAAAGTGAAGATGTTATTTAAATACAGAACTTTCTTGTTTCACTTGGAAGCCAAGCATCACATGCAATTTGATGTCTTGCTTAAATAAATTGGAATAATAAAATAGTATTTTCTATTAGTAAGTAGCTCAGAAGTGACTTTCATATTCAATGTTGTGATCTACTAATCTTTCTCATATGTTTTCAGCCTCCAGAGGTGACATTGTGCTGACTCAGTCTCCAGCCACTCTGTCTGTGACTCCAGGACAAAAAGTGACCATGACCTGCAAGGCCAGTCAGAGTATTGGCACATACTTACACTGGTATCAGCAAAAGCCAAGTGAGGCTCCAAAGCTCATCATCAAGTATGCTTCCCAGTCCATGTCTGGGATCCCCTCCAGGTTCAGCGGCAGTGGGTCAGGGACAGATTTCACTCTCAGCATCAATACTGTGGAGTCAGAAGACTTTGCAATTTATTACTGTCAACAGAGTAACAGTTATCCTCCCACAGTGATGTAGACCATAGCAAAAACCACCAAGGAAGCAGAAGTGTGAGGCTGGGCTGCTTTAGCTACTTCCCATGGTGCCTCCACCTTCTTCACAGTGCTTTTAAGACATAGTCAGCCTTGTGGTTTATAGAGAAAACTGGAGTGAAGAAGCCAGGAAAGCTCTCTTGCCTCTGACCTCCCTTTATTCCATTTTAGCTCCAGAATACATACCCTCTAATGGCTGTATTGTTGTAATTAGACAATCTTCCTTATTTATACTATATAACCCAGAGAAAAATATCAGCCTGGATGGACAGAGGAAATGATTGATTTACTTCTTCTATAATTGTTAGAAGTGGATTTAAATCATTGTGTGAACCTATAGCATATAGTTTACTCCTGTCCCTCAGAGATGAGATCTGAGAGTCACTGTTTCATGTCTTAGTTGCTAATTTCTCTATGATTATTTTATAGTAAGCGAGAACTCTTCAATGTAAAGTGTTCTTCATGTTTATCACTTACAGTGGAAAACCATGCAGAGCTTTACAGTGGGTTGCAGTACACTGGAGGAAGGTTATCTAATTACACCAGGAGAGCCACTATGTGAGATGTATACTGTGCTTCGCTGGTGGGTTTTGCTATGGTCTGCACCACTGCAGGAAGGGATCTGTTACCTGGCTGACAGAAATAAATTCCAACATCTTTAGTCTCCAGACTGTTAGTGATAAGAGTGAAATCTGTCCCTGATCCACTATCAGTTACCCTGGAGGGGCTTCCAGAGATGGGATTGGAATCATAAGAGATGAGGAGCCTCGGAGCCAGAGCCTTGTTTAGTTTTGGATGTTACCACTATAAGTGACTAAAAAAAGTAAATGTAATGATTAAGTCCATTATTTTTATGCTAATTTAAAAACAAAACAAAACAAAAGACTTGTGTGGCCTATACTGCCTTGGTAAGGTGCCTTTCATATTGTCACATCAGAGGCAGAGGCAGACAGATCCTGTGTATTTGAGGCCAGCCTGGTCTACATAGAGATTTCCAAGGCATCCAGCGTGATCCTGTATCTCAAACAAAAAAAATCAAGTGTGTCCCTAGCGATCTGCAGAACTTTGAGTAAACTTGGCTCTTATCCATAAATAATATATGCTTAACATAAACAATTTAATGTTTCCTTATACAAAGTTATTTTTCCCACAGGAAAAGACATGTAAACAGCTGCATTACAAAGGCAAGGATTTGAGGGGCAATTGCTCCTTAGTGGTATCAGGAGGTAGCTGAGTTATGTTTATGCTGGTTTTCATGAATCCTTTTTGAAAAACAGGTAGATAGCTCCAAGTATCTTCTTATTGAGTATAACACCCAAATCACAAACCTCCCTTCCATTTTTCATGCTCCTGAAATGACCCTTGTCAACAACTCGTGTTGACATATTGTTCATGATCTAATAAGGCCACTGAAGATCAGAATGCAAAGTCAGCTATAGAGGCCCGGCAGTGGTAGCATACATGTTTAATCCCAGGACTCAGGAGACAGAGGCAGAGGCACTTGAATTCTGTGAATTTAAGTCCGCCCAGGGCCACATGAGAGGGTATCAGTCTAAGAGAGAAATAAAGCTCATGGTTTTAACTCCAGCATTAGAGAGGTACAGAAGTAGCAGCCCAGGGTCTCATGCAGTATCCAGTATTCAGTGCCCCAGCTATGTGGGGAGGAGTGGAAGGGGGCAGGAGGCAGCCCCCACCAGATCTGTCTGGCCGGCTAGAAGCACCTAGGCTCCAAATGTCACAGGACCTACCCACCCTAGACTGGTTGGCTTTGACTTCAGGCCACACCCACCAAATAAGTTGTTCCTAAACTTCCCATGTGCATTTTTCAGATCCCTGCTCTCTCGCTCTCCCGTCCTTTCTCCCGCGGACTGTACTTTTCCCACAGCTCCTCCCACTCTCAGCTCGTAGCCCAAACCTGGTTCTCAGGTCAGACTTGCCGTGCCTCACAGTCACTGTCGGCAGATTTGCTAAGACAATTGGGAATTTAAAAAAAAAATTTTTTTTTCTAATTTTACATATCGATCCTCGATCCCAGTTCCCTCTCCTTTCCTCCCTCCCTCTCACCCTCCCTCCCTCTCACCCTCCCTCCCATCCACTCCACCACCGCCCTCCCATCCCATTTCCCCACCCCACCCCACTGGAAATTCTTAAAGGAGGAATTAGTTAAAAGAGTTTTTCCCACATTAAAAATGAGAAACACTATTATACTGGAGATAGTTAGATATCTGTGTGATTACATAATAGATGGCTTAAAATGGAACAATTAAAGGAAGGGATAATCAACTAAATGGGATTGGGATTGGCTTAGTGTTAATTATCCTTGTGGGCTTTTTGTTTTGTTTTGTTTTGTTTCCCCAGGCTTGGACTAGGCCTATTCCCCATCTCTCCAGTAGAGGGCAATAATACACTTTCTAGTCAAGTTGAACAGCCCTAGTGCTGACAGTCAGTCCTGGAAACACTTTCAATTAAAGAGGTTTCCAGGTTGTTGATGCACTTAACATCGGCAAATGTCTCCAGGCCTTTCACCCTGTCTGTGAGATTGGTCCAAGCACATTTCACTGACACACATTCCCGAGCTGGGGACCCTGAAAACCTTGTCCAAGAATCCCATTCCTGCTCATAACAGCAACCTTGGTCTAGGAGGATCAGGGTCTCAAAGTCCTTCTAAAACCAGCATGAGGCAGTGTGTTGGAATCATGATAGCTGCTGAAAAACCAATAAATGTTTTCCTCTGCTTCATAAAGGAAGTTTTATCAGCCTGTGGCTTCTATGGAAATATACCTGGAAATGCTCGAGTTCCAGATCATGCACTGGCACAAAGGTGTTCCTAAGGAACTGACAGCTTGGGTCCATTTGATTAGACTGGAGTGGATGAGCAAAGCCTTAGCTGAGCAGCTGCTAGATAAAAGAGGAGGCAGATATCAGACCTCAGATTTCCCAATGTACATTTCCATTGTCCCCAACGGAGGTTTATCATGGAAACAGTGTGTCCCACACAGTGAAGATCAACTTGTCATGCCAGTTAGGTCAAACATATGAAGAATTCCCTGGGCCCGTGATGTTGGACACCAAACAGAAGAAACAGAAAAAACCAAAGAAGATGTTGAGAGTTGGTCTTGATCAACTTAAATACTGCAAGAAAGTGAAAGCGCAGGCGTGTTTATGAGCCAAGGACATCCTCCCCTGCAGCCTCATGTTTGCATATTTACTCCTCAGAGGCCACAGTTGGCTCAGACTTGCTTTTAATAGAACTAACTTAGAAAAGAGAAGCTTGTAGACAGAGACCAGACAACAAGATGGGTTTACTGGTGAAGACTGTCACCTTGCTGCTACTCAGTGTAGTGGGTGAGAAAGAAAGGGGTCTCAACTAAAAACATCCTTTCCCTCATGGAAATTTTAGTTTAAAACCAAAACCTTTCCTTCCTTCCTTCCTTCCTTCCTTCCTTCCTTCCTTCCTTCTTCACTTACTTTTATCCTGTTTCTCCCCTACTTTTTTGTTGCCATGTTTTTCTTCTGTAAGGTATTCTGTAATCTGATTTTGTTTTTACTAATTTCCATTTTCCTCTTTCCCTCCATAGTATCATATAGTGAAAATATTCTCACGCAGTCTCCAGCATCCATGGCCATATCTCAAGGGGAGAAGGTCACCATCACCTGCAGTGCCGGCTCAAGTGTAAGCTCTAATTACTTCTACTGGTACCAGCAGAAGCCAGGAGCCTCTCCTAAGCTCCTGGTCTATGGCACATCCAGGCTGGCTTCTGGAGTCCCAGCTCGCTTCAGTGGCAGTGGGTCTGGAACCACTTACACTCTCACGATCAGCAGCATGGAGGCTGAAGATGCTGCCGTTTACTACTGTCTGCAGAAGAGCAGTGCACCTTTCACACAGTTCTAGAAAGCAGAACAAAAACCTCTTCCCCCTTCTCAGGACCAAGCTGCTTCCCCGTTAGAAGTTACCACATGGTCAAGATTTTTGACTGGTGTCTGACAAAAATCTCCAAATATTTCTTCAGTGTAAGCAGAGCTAAATTTCCACTCAAGGGCCTTTAAGTCACCTCTCCTGGCAAAGAAGAGAAACATGCATAAATGGAGATAGTGACACAAGACAACCATAGAGCCCACCTTAGTGGCATCCTCTCCAGACATGGTTGCGAATACTCTGGTGAGTAGCACTGTGTAGAAAGAAAGTGCACAGCCTAAATACCTCTTAGTCTTCTTTAAAAATATGTTCAATGTACACATACACCATTTTCCAGATATAAAATACAATAAATCTCTTTAGACTCATTTTCATCACAAAAATCCCAAAATTCTTTGTGGGGGGGTCTCACTCATTCTATACATCTGACTCTATACATTACATGTCATCATGATAAAAGTATTGCATTTGACACTGGATTCAGCATCTTTGTTATAGACTCTATTGCTGTGAAGAGATACCATGACCATGGCAACTCTTTTAAAAGAAAACGTTTTTAAATTATTATTTTTTTATTTATTTTATATAATCAAGTCCATTTAAATGAAAACAAACATTTATAGACAATATTTGGGAATTTGGGCCTTGTTCTTTCCAAACTACTTCCTGCTGGTAAGGGGCGCTGTCATGGGGGATTCGAAGAAGATTCAGAAATCCTGGCTGTAATCTGTAAGGCTGCTTTGTCCAGCTGTTTTGAATGTAGGATCATCTGGTACTCTGTTTCAGGTGGTCTGGCTTGATCAAACATAAATGCCCTTCCTGGATAGTGAGATCAACAACTAACTTATCTATGGAGCCCTCAATTAATGCCTGTTGGAAACAGGAGCAAACACCCATACATAAACACTGAGTCGAAGTAGAACTCAGATGCAGATGGAGAGGACAAGACCAGGTGGCAGAAACACATAGAGACAGCTTACCTGAACAAGGAGGAGCTAAGGGCCACCAGACTGATAGCTGGGAAGCCAGCAGGGGACTGACTCAGGCCCCCCTGATTATGGGTCTCAGCCAGAAGGACTGAGCAGTCTAAGGGACCTCAGACAGTGGAGCCAGGATGTATCCCTGGAGCACAAAATGACCTTGCAGACACATCCCCCATGGAGGGATAACTGCCTTAACCTAGAGACAGGAGAGAAACCCTAGTCCCTACTTCAAATGTCAGATCTACATGACCCCAACTGATTGGCATTCCCCTACACATGGAATTGGGGTGGGGGGATGGGAGGGGAGGGTGGTTAGGGTGCATGTGAGAGGGCAGAGAAGGTAAAAGGGAAGGAAGGAGGGAGGGAGGGAGGGAGGGTGGGAGGGAGGGAGGGAGAGGGAACTGGGATCGACATGTAAAATAATAAATTAAAAAAATGCTTTGACTCCAAAATTTAAGTTCAAGGACAAGTAACTGGAGAAAAGGATTTCTATTTTTGTTTCCACAGAAAATGAAAAGATGTGGATTCCTTTCATACTAAAAGAAAACTTTTGATTAGGGCTGGATTACTGTTTCTGAGGCGTAGTCCACTATTGTCATGAAAGGAAGAATGGTGGCATACAGGTTATATATGTGTACACACACACACACACACACACACACACACACACACACACACATAATTTCTAAGTCAGGAATGCAGACCATCAGAATCCAGAGAATCTAATGCAAGGTGATTTCTCTGAATGTGTCTTCAATTACATGACCAGTATCAGGATAGAGCTAACTTTTATACTTGACACACAGGGAGCCAAATTTCTCACATATGTTTTCAACACAAAGTTCTTCAGGTATTAATCACAAGTCTCTGAATCTCATTAAAATGTTCCCACCAATGATAACACTGTGTTGTAACTTATGAGTTTGTTCTGTAAAGGCTTCTAGAGTTACTTCAAACATGGAATTATTTTCAGCCAGCCATGTTAGCAAGTCAGTTTTTTTTTTCAGTGATTACAGTACATTTCATGAACTTGTGAGGTTTCAACAGTTGTCATTATGTCCTATATGTTCCGCAGTGCAGTCTTGCCATCAGCCTGTGGTGGGCAGCAAAGAGCTGTGGTGTCTTAGGGTTTTGGTCGCTGTGAAGGGACACCGTAATTAAAACAACTCTAATAAAGGAAAACATTTAATTGCAGAAAGTTTACAATTTAAGATGGTCTATTATCATCATGGCAGGACATGGTGGTTTCTAGGCAGATATGGTGCTGGAAAAGGAGATGAGGATTCTACATCCTGATCTGCAGGCAACAGGGGGTGAACTCGCTTCCATACTGGGTGCAACTTTTAAAGTCAGTTTCCACAGTGAATCACTTCCTCCAACAAGGCCACACCTACTCCAACAAACCCATATGTCCTAATACTGCCACTCCCTATGAAGGCCATTTTCTTTCAGACAACCATGAATGATAATGACTTACATTGTTTGAGCCTCTTAGAACTTCCCAAGACAAGTCAAGGGGAGATTTCTCATATCTGCGAAAATGGAAATTCAGTTTAAAAACCCATGTATGCATTCTGAAAGAAAAAATAATCCTGCCATGGAGGGTATATCCACTCAAACGTTTTAATACTGTATTTTAAAATAGTGGTCCCTTTAAAATTTTCTGGCTTTTACCAACCAATTAATGGTTTCTCTTTTTAGTTTTACTAATAGTGATATTTATAAACAGTGGGTGTTGTAGAACACTTGAGAGAAATTTATCATAAACTCAGGGCATTATGACCACAACCATATATCAACCATCTATTTACTACCTATTAATCCACAGAAACATGTATATTTCCCAACGCAAATAAGCCTTGAGTCTCTGCTGCTATTTTAATTACATCCCAAGGGCACAGGACTTGTTTAACTTCAACATAATACTCTAATACTATGTACTGAGTCTATATATATGAGTAGTGCATTTCATTAGTTAATCGATAGTCTTATGCTAAGCAAATCAATTTTTTTGGCTACGCCACTCTTATATCCCCTCTGAACATACATACTCACCCGTTCCATTTTAATACCTCTTCTGTCTGTGTCCATCTTCTTCTGTGTGTCCTCACCCTTCCTTGCCTAACTTCAGTTAATGTTTTTACTTATTATACTCTCCCATTCATTTTCTCATGGACATACCACAATGAGCCCATCATAATACCACAAACATGCCTGAACACATACAAGCACACAAAACATATATATCCATGGAATAAAATAAATAAATCAAGATATATTTAAAGGAAATCTTGGATGTCTCTCATTACAAGTAGGTCCAAGACACTTACTGTGCTTTTGAGGGTCTCTTGATGACCAAATCCTAATTTAAGGAATGAGCTGATGGAAATAGCTTGTCCTTTATCAGCAGGATGATCTTTGATCAATGTGCTGATGGGTTTGTTTCATACAACATCAAGGATGATTTTAGTGCCCTTACTTTTGAAACATAAAACCTGTCTTCATAAGAATATTGGAAACTCATTGTTAAGAAAAAATAAGAATAGCAGCTTACTACTAAACATAACAATGAAAGATGAGACCATTGATTTTCTTGAAGGAAAAGTAGCCATTTCTCTAGGACTGAGTGCTTAGCAAAGCATACTTTACAATTTTATTTCAACAATTTGATGTCAGTGTCTCTCGTTGTGTATACCTAGTCACAAATTTTCACTATTATTTTACCTAATCTTTGACACACAATGGGAAAATCTTTCATGATGGGAGGGATGAGGGTGCTCTTTTTAAGGAAGACCTAGTGAGATTTCTATCTCCCTCATAGACTCTGTTTAACTTCCAAGATTAAAATTTTATGTAGGATAAATTCAATTTTTAGTCAACATTTTACCCAAATTTTCAGATTCAGGAGCTCCCACCCTTTAATAATTAAAATGTAATATATTTGAAAAGTGAGTTCAGATATTCTAAGATAATAATATGACATGAGCTAAACAGTCACAGAGCAGGGTGCACATTGAGAATGGTGGTTATTTAAGTAAGTGCATCATGAACTACAGCCCAAGGTTCTCTTAAATCCCACATGAGGTAGAGTCCTGGACAAATGATAGTTTACTAAATTGGTTCCTGTTTTTCCATTCACTGAGGCAGGGTGGGAGGGCATTCTTTTTCCTACTCTCCTGGGGCTGGTGTATGTATCTGACTGTTGCAGAAATGTCTGTGAACACACTGAGGTTCTATATCACACACTTTGATGCTGGTTTCCAAGTGCAGATCTCAGTTAGGTGGTGTCCAGGATAACAGGAAGCAGAGAAAAGATCTAAAAGCTCTCTGGGAACATTATAAACAGTCATCTTTCACACAGTTTTATGTTTTTAATGGGAGATTTAAGGCTCAAACTGCTAAGTAGATTTGGCTTTTCATAGAGGATCAAATTAAGCCAGGCTTCACAGGAATACACCAGCATCACTCTGGGTCTAAACTATGCACCACAAATGAGAAAAAGTAAAACATTTTTTTATCCTCATCAGTGTAATATCTACAAATATTTAGATATAGTCCTGGTTTAACTATGTTTGCTATAAATAAAGAGCCACATGGGTTTATAAGCCATAAATAGCCTGACCTATATCTTGCTATTTGCATATTTTTTCCTCAGAAATAAAAAATGGCTCACATTTGTTTTAAGGAGATGTACTTATGAGACGAGCAGTAGTTAGCCTGAGGCAGAGGTTAGGAAGAACAATGGATTTTTGGGTGCAGCTCTTAAGCTTCCTGCTAATCGGTGTCACAGGTAAGACATGGGAGGAGTTAGGAGCTCAGAATCTAGGATTCTTCTTACTAGGGAAGTTTGAGTCCAAGATGAACTATTTTTCAGTTTTTTCTTTTGAATATTGGTTGATATGGAGTATTTTGTATATCAATGTCTACCAACCTCTCTCTTTTTTCATCACTCTCTTTTGATCATAGTGTCCAAAGGAGAAATTGTGCTCACCCAGTCTCCAGTATACATGACTGCATCTAATGGGGAGAAGGTCACAATCACCTGCAGAGCCAGCTCAAGTATAAGTTCCAATTACTTGCATTGGTACCAACAGAAACCAGGAGCTTCCCCTAGACTCCTTATTTATAGCGCATCCTACCTGGCTGCTGGAGTCCGCGGTAGCTTCATAGGCAATGGGTCTGAGACCTCTTACTCTCTTACAATTAGCTGCGTGCAGGATGAAGATGCTGCTACTTACTACTGTCAGCAGGGGAGTAGTAGCCCACCCCCACAGTGCTACAGACTGGAACAAAAACCTTTCACTTCCCCTAGGGTACAGAAGTTTTCTCAAAGAGATGAAATGTGGCCAAAGGTGTGATTGACATGTGGTAGGATTGTCCACGTTTTAATGTAGTATTGATGTTGTTTAGAGATATGTACTTTTTCCTACTTTTAACACTTCTCATATCTAAAAATTTTAAATTAATCTGGTAGATTTTTACCATATTTGTTGTTTTTTATGATGAAAGACTTTCTCGTGGAAATGTGCCTAGTAGGTACCTGGCTACATCAACCAAGTGTGGTTGTCTGTGTAATTAAATTATATTCAACACCAGCAATGCTTCCAAGTGTCCCAGTGACTGTTACTTGTGAGGTTGTGAATCTCATTCACTTCCTGTGACGTGGGGCTTCTCAGACTGCCGGGTTTCCCGGAAGTTCTGAGTAGGACAGAATTGACACAGATAACTCAGAGTGTGTTCATCTTTGTGACTGGGTTGCTTCAGTGATTCGTCACAGCTATGGCGAAACTGAAATTCTCCAGTGCCTCAGGGTAGAATGACGTTCGTTATACGTTAGACAGATCGGGCGAGACAAAAGGCCATTTCTCTATGGCATTGGTAGATAGAGTGTTAAAGTGTTTCTATGAAGTACTAGTTTCTGTGGCTAAGAGGACAGCACCTTCTCAGTGACTTCTTACATCTATTTATTGTGCAATGTATTTTCCTGGTGGTTTCTCTCACTCGGACACTCCCCTCAGGCCCTCTCCATTAGGAGGGAATGCAGTGATGAGAACTCGGCACCTCCAGTCTCTTATCTTGGGACCAGAGATGGTGGATTCAACAGCCAAAGAGTCCATTGTCTTGGCATATATTGGAACTGCAGCAGGCCTCACTCATTCTTTCTTACAGCCACAGGAAATCCACGTGTTTTACAGGTTGTTTTCAAATGGTGACATGCAATAGTCCGCACAACCTGCTTTGAGTACTTCTTTACAATGCCATTTGCAGTTTGGGAAAATATAGTTTCTCTGTGATATCCCTCTGTATCTCAGTGCTCTCCTTAAAGTCATGTTGGGCATGTTTATTCTGTACTTAGATTCTGTGTGCTGAAGGAAAGTATAGCTAGCACCTCTCCTCAGCCATTTTTCTGGATGGCTCCAGAAAGTTTTGCCCCTATTTTCTGCTACCTTAACTCATCTCAGAATTTTCTATGGCAGGTTTTTCTCCTTCAGGACAGTTGTTTACTGAAAATAAACTGCCTCTGTCATCCTGCTAAATGTAGTATAGCATCCATGCTTCTCTGTCTTCTCCTTGTCGGTAACGGACCATTTCTCTGAAATTGTCCTGTTAAGTTATAATTGACATTTGTTTCTCTCAGAAAAAAACAGTTCATTGGAGTCATATATTTTATTATTATTCAATTCATATGGAGAATCTCGGAAACAAACCACTAATAATTAAGCAAATAAGGCAACAGAGAACTATAGAACAGATATTTAAATTTTATTTAAATTTATTTGTTTATATTTATCTGAGTGTATGTGTGTGGGCACACGTGTAGAAATCAGAGGACAATATTCCAGATTCAGTTCTTTTACCATGTGCTAATTGAACTCAGATTTTCAGAATTGGTGAGAAGCATCATTATCTGCTGAGCCGTATCTCCCATCCCTAATTTTTTCCTTTCAATTATTAAGAAATATATCAAGAACAACACTAGATTATAGAACAACTTCAAATGTTCATGGGTTGGTAGAATTAATATTGTAAAAATGATCAACCAACCCAACACAATTTAAAGATACAATGTAATAATCCCTATCAAAAACTACATAGATAGCAAAAGTCTTAAGATTCATATGGGAACTTAATAAAACAATAATGCTAGGGTACTACCATAACTAATCCTGTTGTACTATAGAGCTATGGTGCTAAACACTGGTATTCAGCACAGAAAAACTCATAGATGATCAAAACAAATCTGAATATTCAATTTATATAAAAGCAGTTAGAGCCAAGTGTTTAACAAACATGGGAACACACAATCCCAGAAACAAATGAACAAAAAGGAAAAACAGTGCTACCAACAAATGGTGCTGGAAAAGAATGGATGTGCTCACACAGAAAAGGAAACTAGATTCCTAACTTTCAGTCTTACAAAAACTAACTCCAAGATGTTCAAAAATATAACTCTGAAGCTGAAAAATCTGTAAGCTATTGAATATGCTGCCAGGGACTTCATTAAAACATGTAGAGGTAGATGAGAACTCTCTACACAAGACTGGGGCAGGGGTATTGCATGGGAATCAAGATTCACTAGACTCAGTACAGGTTCTGTGAATTTTATTCAAGGAGAATGCACTTTCACAAGAAACAGGTGACCACTATCAGTTCCAGCTCCAAGGATTCACCCAGGTTGCCCTTTGTGACCGTAGCGCACTGGGGTGGGGGACCCCAGACCTAGTCCTACCCTCTAGCCTATCTGCTCCTGTGACCATGCACAAATGGGCGTATTCCATGCTACAGGTGTGGGAGGCGGGGAGGATATCTCAATACACAGGAGTGCTTTGCATGATACAGGTCCCCATAGGCTCATACATTTGCTACTTATTCCCTAGTTGGTCATCTATCAAGAAAGCATTGGCCTAGATGCAGTAGGTGTGGACTTGTTGGAGGAGTGGTGTCACTACAGAAATGTCTTTCCCTGCTACCTATGGTTTAGGATATAAAGCTCTCGGTGTCTTGTCATGCTTCCTGCAATGGTAATGTAAGGACCTCTGAGACTGTAAGGAAACCCCCAATTCAATGTCTTCTTTTGTTAAGAGTTACCCCAGTCCTACTGCCTCTCTATAAAATAAAGGAGTGACAGACACAGTAATCAGGCAAGAAATCTGGTCAAAAATTGACAATTGGACCTCCTGAAGCTACAAAGCTTCCGTATAACAAAAGAAACAGTCCATTAAATAGTCAATCTGCTGAATGGTAGAAAGTCCTGCCAGCTGAATATACAACAGAGAATCAATATCTAGAATACATGAAGAACTGAAAAGGCATCAAGAAAACAAATAACCCAATAAAAATGAGGTATAGATATGAAGGAGACACATAGAAACCTACTGTCTTATAACCAAGCAAAAATATAATTCATTAAATTAGAAATAGTTTTAAAGCATATGTTACATACATAGGTCTAGAAAAAAGTTATACCCAGATCTGCATTTACTGAACAAATCTTCAATCATAGGAGTGAATTCATTACTGTGAGTTGTTCTTATGGATGACCCAGGTGTTACCCATTAGTTAGTCTTGTCATTTCTTATTTGAGTAACAGAACTGGATGACAATAGCATATTCCTGATTACAACATATACTGTAGAGAAATGAGGAAGTGAACTAGAAGCTTCTTCCCAGCTGAGTAGCTTTTATTATCCTGGAAGATGCCATGAAGTTTGTTAGGGGAGAGGAAGCCTTGATGTTTTTATCCTTCCATGAATTCTACCATCTAGAAGCCTAACCTGGCAAGCAAGATACTCTCCTCTTGCCTCAGCTCTCAAAGGGTTTCTTTACGAGAGTATATAAATGCATGGTTGTTGAATGTGGTATTTACATGTAAAGTAAAATACTAATGAATTAAAAAACAACATTTAAATGTTGTTATAAAATATTAGAACAGGAGTCCACCATGTCTCATATGTGCTGCATAATAGAGGCAATGATCTTCATGGGTAATACATTTTACAATATTAAACTACAAATGTGTATATCTACTTTTAGTCAGACCACTGTTCATAACTTTGTCTACTTGGAAACAGGCCCAGGAAAAGAGGAAAACACAAAGCTAAGCAGAGTCTGGTCTGGTATTCTCTGACATATGGGAAAATGAATGTAATTATAAATTTGTGTCATTTCCTGCTAATTGACTGAGCTCTTAATTTTGTATTTTAAGTTATACTTTCCTCATGATTATTCTTTTTGTCTTTTAGTGAAGTTGTCAAGTAAACCAAAAGCTCACATTTCCCACAAATGTTTTAGACATTAACACGATTATTATTTTTTACACTGATTTTTCTTAAGGATATTTATTCATTTATAGCTATCCCTACTACATATAGTTTTATGATTCATCAGTTCTTTAAATTTTGTATTTTGGTTGCACATATTTATTTTCAAACATAAACATTGTTCTTTGTGCCTTATGTGTGACTACTTACAATAGTTAAACTGAATTTTAAAAATAACTTTCTAAAGCCTTGAATGCTTAGAAGAATCCTTATTTCAAACTGTGAATATACATCTTTACTGCTGAGCAGTGTCAGAAATTCACTGCTCAAATCAAGAGCACACGACAGTGTACCATATATAATGGACTGCGTGGAATATTCACCTGTGTTTTATTAAGGGGCTTTATATCACTTTGTCTCATACAAAAGTACACAATGAAAATTTCTGAGTACATTTCAACATAGGGTTTTTGGAGGATATGTGTGTCAAATGAACTTTTGACATAATATTATTGATTGATATAATTTTAGTTGCTATATCCCCCGTGTAAGAAATGATATCTGTGAAAAGGGACAGAATGTGTTCATAGGAATTTATACTCTTTCCACACTTCTGCATCTATATTTAATGCTTTCTTCTAAGTGCTTCATTATTTATTAGTAGCAACGGTTTGGATGCATGTTTTTGGGTCTACACAAGTGTCTCTGACTGTATTTGGAGAATATTCATTTTCTTTCACCATATAGAGTGATGAAAACTCCAGTCTTTGCTCCCTCCTTTCTGTTTTCCCCCATCATGCTAGGATTTGCACTGACCATCATCCTTTTAGATTTCCTCCAGGCTCATACTTGCCCTATTCACATCTCTCCAGCAGAGGACAGTGTTTATATTTATCTACCTAAAGACACCAGCTTTAGAGCTGATAATGACCCGAAACACCATGAATAAGGAAAAGGTTCCCAGGTTTTTAATCCACGCAGCATCAAAAATGTCGCTAGCCATTTAATCACTTCTGTGAGATGGGTCAGAGCCTATTTCATCAGCACAACCAATAGAATCTGGAGAGCCTGAGTATTCCCACTCTTCAGAGAAGGAGTCAAACTTCTCCAAGATGTTCAGTCCTATTTATAACATTAAACTTAGCGTAGGAAGATCAGAAGTCCAGAGTTGGATTCATCACAGACGCTACAAAATCAATAGCCCTTTCTTTCTGTTTCAGAGAGGAGGGTTTATCAGAGCTGAGTTTCTGTGAAAATGTCCCTGGAATTTCCTGAGTTACAGGTGACACACTGACACACTGGTTTGGATATATTCAGGGTCATTTAATCAGAACGGAATGAATGAGAAAAACCTTAGTGGAACATGTGCCAGTAAAAGGAGGAGGCAGAGATGGGTCATCAGGGTTTCAGTGCACATCCCAATCATCCTCCTCTGAGCTTTATCATGGAAAAGTAAGCTCCACATGCCAAGGAAAAGAACCTGCATGCCATGTAGGTCATTTCTAAGTTTAGCTGTGAAAAAAAAACATGGAATAATATGTAAAAGAAAGTTACAACACTGTAGAGAAAACAAAAACAAAAACTGAGAGCTCTAGTGTTCACTAAATTAAATACTACAAGTAAGTAAAGGCAGAAGTGTGTTTGAGTCAAGATCCTGCTAGCCTACAGCCTGCTGTTTGCATAGTCACTCCTCAAACGCCACAAATAGCTCCTATTTGCTTTTAAGAGAATAAACTTAGAAAAAAGAAGTTTGTACTCAGAGAAAGAGGCAAGACAACAAGATGGGCTTGCTGGTGCAAACTGTCAATTTTCTGCTGCTCACTGTCCTGGATGAGAAAGATGGGAAGCTCCAAGCTCACACTCAACATCTTTTCCCTTGCAGAAGTTTCAGTTTAAAATCTGCTCCGTCCCTCCCTCCCTCCCTCCCTCCCTCCCTCCCTCCCTCCCTCCCTCCCTCCCTCCCTCCCTCCCTCTTCCCTCCCTCCCTTCCTCCCTATCCTCCCCAACTTCTTCTTTGTCATCTATTCTTCTTTGTATAGTGTGTGGTATGAAGATGCTGGAATCTTGATCTTCTAATATTTTTGCTTTTTAAAGTACATTTCATTTAAATTAAAAACAATCTTATTTTACATACCAATCCAAGTTAACTCTCCCTCCCATCCTCCAATGCTCCCCCATCAACCCCCCATCCCACCCCATCTACTCCCCAGAGAGTGTGAGGATTCCCATGAGGGATAATCAGAATCTAACACATTATTTTGGGCAGGACATAGGACATCCCCAATTATTTAGGGTGAGAGATTACCCCTCTATATGGATTGTGCTCCCAAAGCCCATTTGTGCACCAGGGATAAATATTGTTTCCACTGCCAGAGGCCCCATACATAGACTGCCTAGGCCTCCCAACTGACACCCATGTTCTGGGAGCATGGTTGGGTCCTATGATGGTTTTACAGCTATCAGACTGGAATCTGTCAGCTCCACTTGCTCAGGTCAGCTGTTTCTGTCAGTTTCCCTAGCCTGGTCTTGTCCCCTTTGCTCATTGTCCCTCCCTCTCTACAGCTGGATTCTAGGAGTAAGACTCAGCTCAGTACTTGGCTCTGAATCTCTGCTTTTGCTTCCATCAGCTACTGGATGAAGGGTCTATGATGGCCTTTAAGGTAATCATCAATCTCATTATAGGGGAAGTACAATTAAGGTAGCCTCTCCACTATTGCTTAGATTCTTAGCTGGGGTCATCCGTATAGATCCCTGAACATTTCTCTAGTGTCAGATTTCTTTGTAAACCAATAATGGCTTCCTCTACTAATGTATCTTGCTATACTTCTCTATTCTTCCCCCAACTCGATCTTCCTAAACTTCACCAACTCCACATCTGATAGAGGGATGATTTCCAAAACATACAAATAACTCAAGACAATAGTCACCAAAAACACCAAATAGTCCAATTAAAAAGTGGGGTACAGAACTAAATAAAGAATTCTCAGGAGAAAGACACTCAAGAAATTACTCAATGTCCTTAGCCATCAGGGAAATGAAAATCAAAACAGCTCTTATACCTGTCAGAATGGCCAAAATCAGAATCACCAATAACAGTTTATGCTGCCGAGCATGAGGGGAAGGGTGGTGCTCCTCCATCCACTGCCGGTTGTAGTGCAAAATTTTACAACCACTTTGGAAATCAGTATGGCAGTTTTCAAGAAAATGGGAGCAGGGGAAAAACAAAAAACAATGGCGTCTTGAAATTCACAGGCAAATGGTTGGTACTAGAAGAAACCATCCCGAGTGAGGCAACCCAGTCACAGAAAGAGAAATATTGTTGGAACTCACTCATAATTGGATATTAGACAAAGAGGAAAGGATAACCAACCTACAATCCACAACCCCAGAGAAGCTAGGAAACAAGGAGGACCCTAAGAGAGACATGCATGGTGCCCTGCAGAAGAGGAGAGGTCCGAGACCTCCTGAGCAAATTTGGAGCACAGGGGGAGTAGGGAGGGAGTTAGGAGACAGAAGAAAGATGAAGAGGGGAGAAGAGTACAATCCACTAACTTTTATCCCTTTTCATTTTAATTCTTTCCATAGCATTGAATGAAGAAATTGTTTTCATCCATTCTCCAGCATCACTGTTTGATTTTCAAGAAAGGAGAGTACCTATCACCTGTAAGGCCAGTACAAGTCGCATCTCTGATAACTTCCACTGGTTTCATCCGAAGATTGGAGTTACTCATAAGCCCCTGATTTGTAACATATCCAACCTTGTTTCTGGGTCTTAGATTGCTTCTGTGGCAGTGGTTCTTGGACTTCTTACTCTCTCATAATCACAAGTATAATGGCTGAAGATGCTGCCACTTATTAATAACAACCACAGAACCATCTCCCCATTCACACAGTTCTACAAACCAGACTAAAACACCTTTTAAACATCACTGACTTGACTAGTCCTGATCTGTGGCCAGACATTGCTGATTTGCATATACCCAGAGCACAGCCCACTGTCCTGAGGATTTCTTCATAGTCAGGTCTCATGCTGTGGTAGAGTCAGCAAAGCACAGGGCACATCACAGACATGACGGGCCTCACTCATCTCCTTGGTTTACTGATGATCTTCCTTACAGGTAAGGATGACATCATTGGAAATTTATTCACTGGAATGTGGATCAGTGCCGGCTGGTCTCTGGGAAAGTTTTCTTCTAACAGGATTAATTGTGAGGAAATTTGCTTTCAATTTTTTTTTATTTCAGGTGCCAAATGTGACATCCAGATGACCCAGTCTCCATCCTCTCTGTCTGCATCTCTGGGGGACAGTGTCACCATCACATGCCAATCAAGTCAGGACATCTACAGTTATTTAGCATGGTATCAGCAGGAACCAGGGAAACGTCCTAAGCTCCTGATCTATGGTGCAACCAGCTTGGCAAATGGGGTCCCATCGAGGTTCAGTGGCAGTGGATCTGGCACACAGTATTCTCTAAAGATCAGCAGCCTGCAGCCTGAAGATATTGCAACTTATTACTGTCAGCAGGGTTGGAGTACCCCTCCCACAGTGATCCAAGCCATGACATAAACCACCCAGGGAAGCAGAAGTGAGAGCCCAGGCTGCCACAATTGCTGCTTCTGGTGCCACCAGTTGCTAAAAGGGTTTCTCTTTGTCAGAATTTAGAGGTCAATGTGATATTTTTTTTAGTGTGTAGAAATCATGGAAACTTTTCTGTGCCACAAATTGTCCTCTTGACCAGGCCTAGCATTATTAAAAACGCAGGAATCCTTCACATGAGTAACCAAGTCAAGGCAACAGCTGAGATTCATAGAGCAGAAATGTCAACACACACACACACACACACACACATACACACACACACACACACACACATACACACAGAGGTGGGGGGAGGGAGGGAAGGAGAGACAGAAACATAGAAATGAGAGAGAGGAGAGGAAAGAGAGGAATTCACACCTCTACACACACATATACAACAAGCTATAGTAACTTAGATTTGGACCAGAAAATTATTATCTAACTATGGCATAAAAATTCTGAGGAAAAAGATTTCTAACAGAGCAGTAGGGTCATTTCAACCCACTGCCTTTTAGTAGCCTCTAGCACAGCCAGAATATATGCTAAGAATACTGACTGCTCTTTCAGAGGACAATTTTCAGAGTCCCAACATCCACATGACTGCTAACACCTGTTGCTAACTGCAGTTCCAGGGAGTCTGAGCATCTCATCTTGCATCTGAGACTTTGCACTGACAAGTTACACAAAAATACAAGCCAGAAAAATAGATGTACACATAAAACACATAAAATAAAATGTCTTAAATATTTTAAAATCCTAAGGGACTGGTATTCAGAAAAACTGATACTGGGAACAGATATTCTCGGAATCTGGAGTTAATTTTTTGTTTTAAACTCAAGTAAGGCTTCCTGACAACAGGGGCCTCAGATAGGGGTCAACTCTCATATCATATACGTGGGGTGGGGGTCATCCATTAACTGTCCCTTTCCTTACCAGGAGTACAAGTGTCTTAATTGCTTTTCTATTACAGAGAAAAATATCATTAATTGACAACTTATGAAAGAAAGTATCAAAATTTGGGTCCAGGGTTCCTTAAGATTAATCCATTATCAGCATGGTGGAAAGCAGAGCTGCTGATAGGAAGAAGGCCTGAGGATTTTGTTGTAGATGACTCAGGAGCAGTGGGTAAGTGTTTCCATCTATATGTGCAAGTTTGGAGAAAGGGAAGCAGAGAGCTAACAGGGGATGCAACAAAAACCACACCAAGTTGTATGCAAGTCACTCTCCAAAGAAAACAATATTGTCATTCTAACCCATGGTTTCATAATAACCTCTAGAACGGTCAAATACACTTGGAACTATATAATGGAATAGAATTAGTTGACCGAGCCCACTCTACGACCGACTTTGGGGCAGTAAAGAGGGTCCTTAAAATATCAAGTAACAGAAAACCTCCTTTTTATTATCATATGCATTTTCTATAATGCAGATGATTACAATCAATTGCATCATAGGAAAGGTACATTTGCATTGGACAAAAGCTATAAATGAAAACAGGAAAGCATATGTGTTAGACTCCTCGGCAACCAACATTTTTTCTGGACCACAAATAGAGGGTCCTAGAATTATTTATTGAGTGAATTTCTTCAGATGCTTATGTTCTATTGAAGTGTCTATAGTTCTAACTAAAATCATTGAAACCTTGTTCCAACATAGGTCACAGTGAGAAATTCTTCTGTTAAGAGAAAGAGAGTTTTAGCCTCATTTTTCTATTATCAATGTAGTCATTTTTTTTCTCACAAGACTCCTGCAATGTTAATGAAACTTCTCATTTTCCACCTGCTTTATGACTCTATGATGTTACTCGTTTTACTGAACTTAAACTACCTGAAGATGCTTCAGAAATTGCATATACATATTATAAATATGCCTCCAAGGAATAATATTCTGAAAATTTCAAGGACAATAGTGGGATGCTGAAGATTAAAGATAGCATGATTGGGTGTCCTAGTTCTTAACGGCTTTACTTTTGAATAAAAATGATAATGAATTTAAAGACTAGGAAGTGAATTCATAGTTGTTATGCAGACCCCAATTGCAATTATTGAAATAATCACTACACAGAACTGGCACAGGTATTCCTCAAGTCCTCTGCATATATACCATACGTAATTTGTAAAGAAAATGAGCATACTATCAACTATATAGCTTGCTATCAACAAAAACCAGAAGAAGTTCCTAAGCTCCTGATCTATTATGGATCTACTTTGCAGTCAGGAGTACCTGAATGGTAGTAGGTGTGGGACATATCTGCCCTAAATATTCAAAGAAATGATTGTTTTAATATAGAAAGATAGAATATTAGTAACAGCTAGTAACCGTCTTGAATGCCCTTGATGGTTATAAAGTAGATACCAAGTAGTGCACTTAGCTGTTCTCTCAGAATACAAAGCTCTCTACCAGGAATGCCAAGGCTGCCTAACCATTCTGTGCTCAAACCTGCTCAGAAATCTAGGTCTGACATTTGGTGATGACAACAACAACAAAAAAATAATATGGGTGCTATTAAAGAATTTTCAAATAATGGCTGACAAGGGATAATAAGTTCATAATATGTGAATGTGTTCTTTGAAGCATTATCAGTAAGTCTAGGATCAGAGTAAGAAAAAAAACTGTTAAAAAGCTGTAATTATGTTCTGGAGATTTGTTCCTTTCCCCTTCTATGGGGGACCATGTATGTCTCTCTTAGGATCATCCTTGTATCCTAGCTTCTCTGGCAGTGTGAATTGTAGGCTGGTGCTTTGCTCTATGTCTAAAATCCATATATAATGAGTACATACCATGTTCATGTTTTTGTGACTGGGTTATCTCCCTTAGTATTGTTTCTTCTAGTTCCATCCATTTGCCTAAGAATTTCAAGATTCCATTGTGTTTTCCACTGAGTAGTACTCCATTGTGTAAATGTACCACATTTTCTTTATCCATTCTTCAGTTGAGGAGCATCTAGGTTGTTTCCAAGTTCTAGCTATTACAAATAATGCTGCTATGAACACAGTTGAACAGATACCTTTGTTGCATTGATGTGAATCTTTTGGGTATATGCCTAAGAGTGGAATTAATTACTGGTTTTTTTGTACAGTTTAGAAATGTGACTTTGTTCACAGAGACATGCATCCCTTCAACTCAGGTGAAAAATGTTGCTCTTTCATTCAAGAAGAGACAAATTCCTCTGTCCTTCTTTGTAACCTTTTTATTTAATTTGAACCAAAAGTGAGCCATCAATGAATAAACAGCAAGTTGTGGACAGTGTGAAAATGAATATATTTGAATACATCTCATAATTAATTATGTGCCTAGTGATTTTGTTTAATTTTTGATATATTGGGGGCTTGTTTTTTTTTTTTTTTTTTTTTTTTTTGTTTTTTGTGACTGGCAAATTTTGAACATGTTGTCAGTTCTGTTAGAAGCACAAAACAAGATTATCAAGTTTTGTGTTGTTTTTTTTTCCAGATCCTCCTATATCTGTAAAGCAGTCTAACTAAGGCTAGCGAAGAAAATCAAACTGAATGAAAACCAAGAGGGCTTCCTATACATGAAGTGCCTGAGTGAGATAGGGCATGGCATTTCATAGATACAGAAACAGTAGTTTTCAGAATGTAGGAATATTAGATATATTAAATGTAATACATGGTTGAAATTAATAAAAACTGGAACTCTTCATTATTTTTGGAAGTCTAAAATTCCTTCGTGACCTTTGTTAGATCACGTCTAGTGGAATCATAGAATAAAGCAAGATCACTGCAGGATCATCAGCTGAGTGACTATTAAGCAGGGGGTGACCACACATACCACAGAATTCATGTAGATGCTTGTCTGTGAAAAGGTAAAGGGAGAAGAGGCTGCGTGGTCACAGGGAAGTATGTGGTCCTCAAGTCCAGAGACATATAGTTGTCCATATATACTTAAATATACATACAATGTTAGGAGTGATCTATGAAACAGAGAGAAGAGGGGGGAGGAGAAGTAAAAAAAAATGAAAGAATAGGTATGAGAAACAAGTGATGAAACAAGGTATCTGAAGGAAGATTCAATAGGGGAGTAAGAGAGGAGAGAGAGAGAGAAACAGAGAGAGACAGACCGATACACAGAGAGCTTCAAGGAGAAAGAATTGTTGTCGGTTTAAGATGGTCTTCTGCTTTTGCTGAAATCTGAAGTTCTCAGCAAATACATTAGGTGGTTCACAACTACACATAACTCCCCCTCATGGTATCTGACTCCCTTTAAGAAATATTTTGACTTGTTGACATAAGAACTGATCTCAGGTACATGTCAATCTGAAACTGATGTCTTGTTAAAATGTAGACCATTATTAGTGCATGTTAATTATAGACTGCTGTCTCTCATTTCCAACAAGTTGCTTAAAAGTAAATGAATGACCTATTGACAAATTTAAGCATCAATACCTTTATCTATTAATGGAAATGAGGGAGTTATATCTTATTTTATTAAGATAACTGGTATGTTAATTTTCATTACAAAGTATTTTATGCAAATTTTAACTTTCTGTTTGCTATATGACTTAGATAAGACTTTTTTTCTGTTTTTAATTTTACTATGATCTTAGAATTACTCATAATCCTTCAAAGATTACATACACAAATTATGAATCTATCCCTTGCCAGTTGTTATCTGAAAATTCAGTAACATCAACTATACTATGTTTTCTGATGTCAATACCCAGAGATATTCCTAGACTTCTGAATAGGTCAGAGTATAACATGATTAGAAAACCTAGATATTCCTGATATAAAGCTCTGTATTCTTGGAGAGCTGCTGAGAATACATTTCCTATCTACTTCAGAGATTATAAGAGAATACAAGCCAGTTAATGGTTATTCCTTTTATTCAACCTCTGTGTACTAAAACGGTCCCTTCTTTGATTATTTAGTTTCTTCAGTTTTCTTTTATGCATCCCAAGTACTGCTGATATTCAGATGGATCAGCTATATATACTTTTGTTTTCATGGGATAATGGTATGCATTGTCTTGCCTCTAAAATTGTACTGATCAAGTAGAGAGTGGGGTGCAGAACAACTTTTCTGTGCCATTCACAAAAGCTCCGTGTGGTCAACAGAGCCTGTTCGCATCTGAGACATGGTGTCAGCAACTAAGAGAGTATTTGGGACAATTTATATTCTCACTTCTGCTTTTATGAGTGGTTTTTGTCATGACTTCTATCACTGTGGTACAAGTTAGAACCTTGCTGACAGTAGTACATTGCAAAATCTTCAGACTCCACACTGCTGATGGTAAAGGAATAATCCGTACCAGAGCCACTGCCACTGAACCTTGTGGGAACACCTGGTTGCAAATTGGAAGCATAATAGATCAGGAGCTTAGGAACTTCCCCTGGTTTCTGTTGGTACCAAGCCATATACTTGCTAATATCCTGACTTGCTTTACAAGTGATGGTAACTCTGTCTCCCAAGGATGCAGACAAGGATGATGGAGACTGGGTAACTTGGATGTTACATCTGGCACCTGAATTAGGAAAATAAAAGCAAAATTAATAATACTACAGAAGGATTACCCTCAAAGACAAGCAACAATGATCACAGTGTTTTGAGAAATTTCCCAAAGCCAATCCTCCTTACTTGTGAGCCAGAGCATCACCAGTCCCAGGAATTGAGCAGAGGTCCTCATGTCCATGCTGTGGCACATGTGATTCAGACAGACTCTACAGAAGGATGTGACCAGATCTTTAAAATATACTCAAAGCAATGGGTTGTGCTCTGGGCACATGCAAATCATTAGGAGCTAGGTAGGGCTGAGCACTGGCGCAGAAGTAACTCCTCTCTCTGAAATCACATGGTCTCTCAGAGTCCTCATTCCTAGCACAGCACAGAGAACATTCTTCCTTCTGACTAGAAATCAGGGACTTTGTATATTCTGTGAGTATGTGATGTGTTTCCTTGGCCACATCTAAGAAACTACAAATTTTCAAGCTCCTACCATTTGGCACTTTTATTACTGAGATCACAGAGGATTCCTCTTTAACACAATTAGTTAATAGGCTTAGCCTGAAGTTGAAGTATGAAGCAGTCATAGGAAACACACTTTGTAAGGAAAGATAGAGTCTTTGGTGCCTAAGTGGTATTCTTTTAGTATTTCGTTGCTGTTCAGAAATCCTTTGCTTTATTGGCTTCTAAAGTCAGGTATAATCTGTCTTTTTTCAGAAGCAAGTGAGCTGCCATCTTAACTCTGATTTTAGTTAAACATATTCGTACATAGTGTTCTCTACGTCCTTCATGATATTGGTTTTATCCGCTCTCTTAATTCAAGCCATTGTGTTTAAATATTGAGGGCTTTCCTTGCCAATTAGTCATTCACTCATTTGGAGATATTGTGCTCATTAAAATTGAATATCTAAAAGCAAAATCTCTAATTCAGTTGCTAAGAGAAATAAGATTTAAATTGCTGGTTAGAACAATGCATGGATTTCACATTTATTATCTGTTGTATTTTTACTTAAAATACAGATATTCACTATGATTGCAGAAGTTATATTCAATGGTATTTTCAAAACTAGTAATAGAAACCACTCACATTTTATTTAACAAAAGAGGTAAAAATTATTTGCTTGACTTTATTTTCAATTTAGGATACAATGATTTTGAATTCGTATATCTGTCACTCCCCTGTCCATGAAATCACCCTCCTCCATGCATTGTTCTAGAGGAAAAAACAACATGGAGCAGACAAATCTCTGGAGAATTCAGCACATGCTGTAAATGTTGGGTTGTTTTTTTTTTTTTTTTCTGCTATGGGTGGGAGGTTAATAGAAAAGATGTGACAGCAAAGTAAAGGAAGCTGTTCTCTATCCCAAACCTACTCCCTTCTTTTTTAGTTCCAGAGGCACAGGCAAGGGCTCACTGGAATTAATAAAGGACTCAGATCTTGACAGATGAGGCACCTTGACTTGACGTAATCGGAGTTCATACTCCTATTCAGCAATAATGGAATCTGTTTAATATGTACTTGTTAGAGCTTCTTTAAATGGCTCAATGTAGCTAGTGGATATGTAAAAGTCTGTCATTGACTTTGGTACCTGGTATGAAAGTTCATACTACAATATGGAGTTTTTTGGTGCCTGTGCTGAAGTTATCAGGTTTAAGGTATAAGCAGCCTCTAACTTGCTCAATTGCTCTAGCTATTTCATACCTCTATTGGGAACAGGCAAAAAGCACTTTGTCTTAAGTACTGCTAGTTTGTCTTCCAACTCCATGTTTCCTGTGGGGTGAAACAAAAGTTCAGGCTTCCAAGCCCTAGGGGAGCTTGGGAACTTGCAAGAGCTGACTCAGCTCCCACTTAATCTGTAGAAATAGTCATTATGAATCTTCATTTCTCTGAAAACACCATGGATGTTCCTAACAACAGAAGAAACAAATGACTCTGATTGGTGGGACTTAAAAGCTTACCTTGTGGTCAGTTGACAATGATGGCATACTCAAGGAAGCCCCTAATCTCTAAATCCCGATTGGTGAAAATTGTAACTGTAACTTGGCAACAAATGTTTGTGTTTTTTTGTTGAAATACTTGCTTCAACTTGCATTTGGGGTTTCAGCTCAGCTCCCAAGTCTGTTCTGCAGCCATGATTGATCAGCTCCTTCACCTACCCCCCTTCTTTTGGCCTGCCCTGCATTAAATCTTGCCTTATGGAGACTTTTTGTGTCTGCTTGGGTTCATTTGGAGCCTTGGACCATGGTACAACCTTACCTAAGCTATTCAACTTATTTTTGACTAATTAGCTGTAGTAGTAGAGTATTTGCTTGTAATAGTGCCTTCTGGCTTTTCCATAGGACTTGAAACTAACGAGGTAATACATATTCCATATGTGCATTAATATTTGTACATAGGAAATTCAGCATGAGTGTTAGAGTGTGGAGCCTGATGCTTTGGGACCTTTTGAAGAAATTCATGTGGGATTTTGGGCTTTTGGTGTCACAGATGCAAAAATGAACTCAGTTAGCAGCCCTTGATTCTGGTTTAATTTTGTTGTTGTTCTCATGACTGTTCATTCTGATACCCCATCTACATTACCTGAAACATCCTTATCCATTTGCTTCCTTGATTGTTGTCACTGACACAAACTGAAAAGAAAAATATACAATTGTTCTTTGTGAAGGAATCATTTGTTTTTGTCAAGAGAGAATTGGTGTAAAACATACCTAATGGACAAGAGAGTCACCACTTACCAGTTTACATTTCCAGGGTTTTTTTTAATTGGGTTTACTCATATGACTGTTTTCTCCTCAAATATTTCTTATAGTCTTGAGTTTGAACATAATTAGAAACATAATTCGTAACCCTGCAGCTGTGTTTGCCCTGCCATTGTACAGTTATCAAATGCTTTTGGGAAAGGAAGCAGCTTGTCCGGTGACACTCAACAATCTGAAACAGTATTTTCTCAGGTGTTTCCTGGGTCACTCTTTCTGGCTTTTCTGAAGACATTTGTATGACCATCTGTCACCACAGGTTGGCTGTGACTTGGGAATCTCACCAACTTAAGAAAAGTGGTCGGATATCCCACAAATGTTGAGATAGAAAGCATAAACATTCGTGACCACACTCAAAACTTAGAGAAAACTATGCAGAACAATATTGTATCAGTTACTAATAGTAGTTAACAAAGATAGAAATAGGAAAGTGATGATACATTTTATAATAATAGAGATAAAACATGAACAGAGTGAAAATATCCTGAGAGGGGAAATGAGAAAGAAAAACAGATTTCTGCTTTAGATGAAATACGGGCAAACCAGAAAAGAGAGAAAAATTATATTAAAGAGGACAAAGGATTTATTAAATATTAAAGTTGATTTTTTAGTTTGTTCTTGCAGTAATTAAAATGAAGAGGCGGAGTGAGAGAAACTTTGAATTTAGGGTCTACCCGGATGCTAAAGTGAAGGTTTTATTATTTTCTTCGATTTTGAGTTGCAAAAGTGTACACGAAAATATCATAATATCTACTCCCATTTCTCACTTCATTCTTTCCATGTCTCTGTCACACAATTCCCTTCCCAACTTTCCTCACCCACTGTCTTTATAGCCCACTAAGTCTTGCTAGTGCTGTGTATTTGTGCATGAATATAGAGCCATCTATTCTAGCATGAGAATGCTACCAATGAACACATCCTCTACAAAGAGTGGTTCTGCCTCCACAGAAAGTATGGGTGAAGTTGTGGAAACTGTCTTCCATATGCATACATACATACATACATACATACGTATATATATCAGAATTCTGACTCTCATGATTCTCTGTAGATCTTGTGTGGGTAAACACTGCTACCATGAGTTCACAATTGCAACAGTTATGCCATGTCAAAGGGCATTTCTCACCATGTTTCCTCATTTTCTGCACCTCTTCCATGATAGATAGTTCTTGAACCTCGCAGGGGGGGCATATTTAGATATCTGATTTTGCTGTAAGCACTCTGTTTCTTGCTCTTCTTATCATTCTGCCTAGTCACGTATCTCTTCATTAACTTCTGTCCAACTGAAAAAAGTTGACAAGATTCAGACAAAATCCAGTGCCTGTACAGTGTGTGTGTGTGTGTGTGTGTGTGTGTGTGTGTGTGTGTGTGTGTGTGTGTTTATAAACTATGTATACCTAGTCCTTATATTTAGCAGGGAATCTTTAGGTTTTATAAAATGCTATCATACTTTATAAAACGTGTTTTAAAAGTACAGCAGCAATGTGTCATTAGGAGATACTTTGTAGATACCAACTTTATTCATGTCTATTTTCAAAACTGTGTGTTGTCTTCATCAATAGGGTCTTGCCAATAAGTTTTGTTGCAAATCCAAAAGGAATAGCAATGGCTTGTAGTATACTGAATGATTCCATGTTCAGATAATTTTGATAGAAGACAGATTGTGTCAGGAACATCCATAGCAGTATAGGAAGCTGTTGGACTGCTCTGGAACTTTCCATGGGAAAAAAATCAGAGAGTCACTTTCCACATTCCTAGTCTCCTTTATGAAAAGAAGCTGAAATCACAGCGCTTATAATATGCTCACATGATACTGCATAAACAATTTATTTCTCTTGTCTGGATAAGACCATTTCATTCTCACAGTTCTTATTTAAGGTTAAGTCCCTCTGAGATTTCCCATTTCTATGTATTCAGATTTGTTGACATTGTTCTTGTTGAGATCTTTTGTAGGTATTCATGTTGACAGGACCTCATGGATGCTGTCTCCCTGACATTTGTAGGAGACACAATCTCACAGCAAACTTACTGTTCCTCTCACATTTAAAATCTTTCCATCTAATCATCTACAGTTATCTCGAACCATAGATTCAGGAATTGTGCTGTAGATATACCAATTGGGACTTGGCACCATATAACCTTCTGATATATTTTGATCAATTGTGTTTTCTCTAATGGTTTTTACCTAGGGAATCTGTCTCCTCTCAATTGATACTTAACAATATCAACTCCTTCAGGAGGGAATGTCAGGGAGGGCTATGAAAACCAAATTTTAGTGGAGTTGAAATGATAGTGATATTCAGTAGGACCTTCTGTTTCCATTCTTCTTCAGGTGACAATACAATACCCAGAATGCAGAGGAACAAAACAGGAAAACTTACAGGATGATTTTTTCCCCCTTCTCCTGTCTACTGAGCCAATGAAAGACAGATGTCATCATACCTAATCAGAAGATCTAATAAGCCAT